CCAAACTGAACCAAACCAAGCCAACTCAGTCCAAATAAAACAAACCCAATCAAACTGAACCAAACCAAGCCAACTCAGTCCAAATAAATCAAACTCAACCAAACTGAACCAAACCAAGCCAGCTCAGTCCAAATAAAACAAACCCAATCAAACTGAACCAAACCAAGCCAACTCAGTCCAAATAAATCAAACTCAACCAAAATGAACCAAACCAAGCCAGTTCAGTTCAAATAAAACAAACTCAGCTAAACTGAACCAAACCAAGCCAGCTCAGTCCAAATAAAACAAACCCAATCAAACTCAACCAAACCAAGCCAACTCAGTCCAAATAAATCAAACTCAACCAAACTGAGCCAGTTCAGTTCAAATAAAACAAACTCAGCTAAACTGAACCAAACCAAGCTAGCTCAGTCCAAATAAATCAAACCCAACCAAACTGAGCCAGCTTAGTCCAAATAAAATAAAATCAACCAACTCAATCCTAATAAACCAAATCAATCCAACATGGTCTAAATTAATCAATCCAGGCCAACTCAGCACAAATAAAACATTACTTAACCAAACCAATTCAGTCCTAAGAAACCAAACTCAAATCAGTCCAGATTAACCAAACCAAGCCATCTCAGTCCAAATCAAACAAACCTAAACAACTGAACCAAACCTCCTCAGTTCTAATAAATTAAATAAACTCAATTCATTCCAAATAACTTGGTTTAAATAAACCAAACTAAACCAACTTATCCAAATCAACTCAACTCATTTTAAATAAACTAAGCCAATCACCCCAATTTTCCAAACCCAAAATAACCCAACTCAACCAACCTAAACAAAACCAGCACAAGCCGAAACAAACAACTGGTCAACTAAACAAACTAAACCCAACCAACAAACCCAGATCAAGCAGTGGGAGGTCATACCAAAATGATAATGGTTTGAAAGTCTTTGCACTGGTTACAACTGTTTTTGCTTTTTTTTWTTATTAGTTTGCTCATTTGTATTTCATACTGTGTAAACTGGTCAGATTATCTAAATATACTCTTCTAAGGTTCTTGCATTGTCAGAAATAATTAAACTTGCATGTTTTTCTTTTTTTCCCCTCCTGCTTGGTAGGTGGTTGAGCTGATCTCCAGCGCCATCGGGGATTTAGTTCAAGGAATTTATTATGAGAATTCCTTCAACGCTGAGGTAAATTATTYATTCTTCTTGTACAACTTTGCAGCTTTTCAAATCGCATCTTCTGCAAACTCTGAAACTTTTGTATCTGAATATTTGGTAGGGAAATAAAGGCGCTAAATTTGAGGTCATGTAAAGGTGAAAATACTGAATTTCAGGGCCTTTTTTTAATGGTGCGGTGAAGTTAAACTTCTGGAGTAGGTGTGCTGTAAGATCGTACGGCTGRCTCTGACTGTGATTGGATCTGACAGTAGGCCCTATGAGCTGACTATAAATGAGAAGAAAACCAGAAGACATCTTGATAAATAATGAATTAAGAGAGACCCGGTGCTGTCAGGTAGCACTGAGCAAGAGTTTCCTTTAATTACTCTGTTTTTATTTTAGGTTCTGCTGTGAGCTCACAACCAGCTCCTTTATGACCGCAGTGTTCGGAAAAAACAAATATTTTTTGCATTTGTTTAATTTAGAAATAGCGTGACTGCAGGGCAGATTTTCTCCATAAACAAGTTCTTTGGAGCAGATTTTAGAGAAGTCAAATCTCTCAGTAAAGATGGTTTGGACTAAAACATCTCTGTGGGCAGTTTTGAAGCGGAGACAGTGAAAGCTCAGTCCCTTTCCCTCTGCAGGACGGTCTCACCGACGGCGTCGACGTGGTGTCGTGGGAGGAGCAGACGTTCCTGTCCCACGGATCGCTGCTGGCCAAGAGCTGTCAGTCCGCCATGCAGCTGGCCCAACACGACAAAGAGGCCCAAAGGCTGGCCTACCTGTACGGAAAGCACCTGTCGCTGGGCCACAAGGTGAGTCTGATCCACTCGACAAGTGCAGCAAACATCACCAGATGTTTCACGGCTGCAATAATCAAGTCTGGGAGCCAAAAAAAAACAAAAATCTTCACAACCACATTTAGGGGTAAACGGAAGATTTAAAATCAAACTTTTTAGGCTTTAATCTTTAACTTGGCTGAAACTTCGTCCCTCCAGACTGATTTCCTGTCAACTTAAATCAAAGTGGAGGAATAAATGGGCTGCTGATCCACACAGAGCTGCACAAGTAATTGGAGCTTCTTAAATTCAACCGTATTAATGTTTTCATCAAATCCTTCAGAGGAAAGAAAAAAAAGGAGATGGGATGATAAAACACAGAAATGGACTTTAAAAGTGAAATCAGGACGGTTGTTTTAAACTAAACCTTCAGGCTCCGTGTAGCACAGACTTTTTTTTTTCTTTTGGGAGGTTTTCAGCTCCTGTTGGTAATGATCCCGATCGCCGGGGCTGCAGCGGTTCGACCTCCCCTGCCGAGGCTCCCTGCAGCTGCCCGTCTGCAGGCCCCGGCAGCTCTCAGCACGCAGGAACCCGAAACGAGCTCTTTGAAGGAGAACCGTCTTCATCGGACCGGTTCTCTTTCACCAAACTGTCCACCTCGCAGCTCATTAGTAGGACCTCTCCTGGCGTAGGCTGGCTAAACGCAGCCTTATTTTTTAATTATCCCTCTCCTTGCTTCGGTTTTAATTTGTTACCTGACCGTTACAGAGAGGCATCTGTCAGTGACTCCTTGTGTTCTCTACAGCTGAACTCTGACTTGCAGCCGTTCGTGAAGAACGGGTCGGGAGAGTCGGCGTTGTTCAGTTTGAGCGCCGCCCCCGTGGTTTTCCACCGTCAGATTGTCGGCACAGAGAAATGGAACCAGCAGCTCCAGCAGGTCAGTTTACAGGATGTGACTTTTTGCTTCTTTATGTTTGGTTTAAGCACAGAAGCATCTACGTGTGCCTCCGATTATTTGGATTTAATTCAAAATTTAATTAAATCAATATGAGAGTCAACATAAGTGGTCGATAGGATGGAGAGAAAGAGGAAATAGTGAAAAGAAATTTTATTATGAGGATTTATCACCATTAATAAATTTCATAAACTAAAAAATATGGTTTAAATTAAGTTTAAATAAAAAAACGTCAATCTGAAATGAAGCAAACACAGAGTCAACACATGTAAATGTTTTTTGTAGCTTCAGTTGGTTGCAGTTTGCAATTTGTGCCACTAGGTGTCACTAGAATGAAAACTTTTACCACACCTGCTTAATTTTGAAGAAGTCGACTGAAACGCCACGTTCCTCGTCTCACTTCTACGCTGAGCACCACTAACAAACAGTAACTGAGCTCTACCTGGTATTTTCTGCACAGAAACAGCGTTTTAACACGTCCTCTTACAAACACTGAAAAGCACGTGCACGACAAGTGTGAAGTAAATGAAATAGTATTAAAGTAAGAGAGTTTGACTCACTTTTGAGTGGTGGTGAGTAGCTGCCATCTTGAATTCTGAATTCCCACTGGAGGGGCGTTCCAGTTTAAACTCACGATTTGTAAGTGGGAGATACCCACTTCCCAGTACAATTGGGCTGCAGAAAAAGTAATTGTAGAAAATACAGCAAAAACTGAGATTTTACACGGCTGATTTCTCCACCCTGTGCATCTCTAGCCAGTGAYAAGATGCTGTCATTTTGCTTTGAAGCCATCCCGGGCCAAATAAAATGCGGTGGTGGGTCACATTTGACCCACGGGCCTTGAGTTTGACACATGTCCTAAAATATCTTTTTGTTATTTAAATGTATTGTTTTACTTCTGTACTAACATAACCTGTCAAAAGTGTTGATTATTTTAACAATACCAAAGTATTTCAGTTAATTGTAATATTTTTTCTGTTTCCTCATTAAGGCTAAAACTTGGAGAAACAAGTTGGATTACTCCAAGGTAAGAGCAAAAGTTTGTGTATCCCTCAGCTTTTTCAGGAAGTTGTTTAATCAGCATCTTGCTTTTTGTTTTTGTTTATTTTTTTCACCTTTTCATCCGTCAGAAACCAACAGGATGTCTTCTGACTGTAATCTAAATCGAGTTGATAAATCAGGTTTTCAAAGTCATGGTGCGACAACGGGACAGATTGAAGATACAGAGGAGGGGTCTGTTGGTGTCGGGACAGAGGAGGAGGAGGAGGAAGGGGGGTTATCTGGTCCCGTCTGAAACTAGAGCAGGTCGGATTAGTTACCAGGACCTATTTGTGGAGGAGACACCGAGGCTCTGAGACGGTGGCATTGTGAGAGAATCTCCTTCAGACGAAAAGAGGAGAGAAGTTTTTGAGGGAGAGGTGATGGGAGGGCAGCCGTGGTGGTGACGATGAGGAAAACTAGACCTGTATTTATTAACTGATTAACACGATTTTTAGTGATTTTTTTAAAATCATTTGAAAGAAAACAACCAAACTTTTCATCTTTTTCATTCTTAAAATCGACTCAATAATTGAAAAGTAGCACTTTATCAGTGTACATACAGTATTAACCCATTCACCTCAAACATTTAAATGTGATTAATTCTCTTATTTGGAGAAGTAAAGCTTCTAAAACCTATCAAATTTGTCGGACACTGAATGACTTTGCCAAAACCTGATGGAAAAACAAATTTCTAACTGAAGAGCTAAAGTTTAAACTAGCAGAACAGAAGCTAAAATCTGCAAAAAAAAAAAAAAGTTGCTTAAAGCTAAAATTAACCAAACCATACTTAAAAGCAAATAAAATGCACAATCATAGTTTGTCAAAAAAGCAGCTGCTACAAAGTAAATTAAGCAAAAGTAGCTAAAAGTTGCAAGTATCAAAATCATAGCTACATTTAGCAGAACAGTAGCTAAAAGCTAAAATGAGCAAAGACAAAAGGACCTGTTGATGTTTTTGAACATAATATGAAAATTTTATGACTAAATCACAACAACTGATGGATGTCTGGTTAAATATCTTTCATATAATTTGTTTACAAGTAAACGGATGAAGAGTACAGGAGGAAAGARTTGAATCTTTCACTTGCAGTTGATTCAACAACTCTATTTCACTTCTTTTAGCACAACTTCTGCTTAGAGTATCAGTGAATAATCTCCTGTAATCCCAAAGGAATCTCCCTGTGTTTGATAGATCCTGCTGGAAATCTGGAGGCTTCGGGTTGGCTAAAAGATGAAAAGAACAACCCACCGACAGATCAAAACATTTCCAAGTGTAGAATATTTCAAATTTTTACATGCGTTTTTTTTTTTTTTTTTTACATGATTGAGCCTGTTTTCCAAACACCGTCACTCTTTGTGGCGTCACTAAAGTCGTACTCTTGTCCATCACCTGAATATCCAGGTGATCTTGAGGGTTTGCTGGCAGACTTTGTGCAGAGAACAGGAAGTGGACGGAGGAGCTCGGGGAGTAAAAACCCATCGGGGAAAAGCTGCAGAATGAAACCTGTGTGAAATGCATGAGAAAAAAAACGAATCTTTTAGTAAATAAATAATCAGCCAGGATGTTTCTGAGTTTGACACCTGCAGTTATTATTTTATTTAACTTTTTCTTCTTTTATATATATATTTTTTAGTTTCTGGAAGGAAGGCCTACGGGGGTTTTCCACCTCCAGAATTCATAAGCAAAACGCCCTTGGCAAAAAAAAAAAAAAAAAAAGGGAAGTCCCGGCACGGCAGCACGAACGCACAAGGAGACTGGAAAAATTCACTCAAACTGCAACCTTAAAGCTGCAGGTTCGACACGAAGGCTTCTACTCCAACATGCTGCAGTTAAAGCCGCTCAGATGTCTCGTTAAGATCTAATTATTCACTGAAATATAAAGAACAGTTTGTGAAGGCGACACTTAACCATTGATCATTGGACTTTAGGCGTCTGGACTTTTGATATTTTTCACCGTTTTTATGTAATCGTTATATAATTTGTTTGTGAAACAAAATGTTTAACGTCTGCTTATCGCACACAAGTTTTGTTTTTATATCTTTTGCAAAGAAACATTTCTTATTCACACTTTATTTTGGTGAATATACAAATTCAGACATCAAAACAGAGACATTTTCACCATCTTTCACCCGGTGTGCGTCTCACCGCTGCAGAGATTCACAGTTTTCTCTCAAATCCTCCCTAGAAGACAGTGAGCAAAGAAACGACCAAACATTCGGCTCAAACATTCTCTTCAAAAACAGATGGATGGATGGATGATAGATAGATAGATAGATAGATAGATAGATAGATAGATAGATAGATAGATA